CACACACACACTCTCACGCACACACACACACACACACACACTCTCTCTCTCACACACACACACACGCACACTCTCACACACACTCTACCAAAAGGTGGACATTTTTACAATTATACTGTTAGATATTTTACTCAGAAGGCACAGAAGCAAAACTTTTCAGCAAAGTTTTGATCATGTTGATAATTTAGAGGCCTTACAAATTCATTTATCAAATGTCATACTATAGGCTTTACAGGGTTAAAGCACATGATTACAAATGTCAGTACTGTGGTAGAGTAATACCATGATTTTTTAAAACCATAATACGGAATATTGACCATATTCATCATTCACTGTGATATTTGCATAGTGATTATAACATACCCCTCCCCCACGCTGCATTGTAGTCTTTTATTATGAAATACAGTCCCGTCAAATTCCCTACCATTACCTTTTGCTGTTTAACTGAACTCATAATGATGTTTTCTTATTCTTTTTCACATTAATAAACTAATAAACCATAGTTTATTGAGAAGAACCCTGCTGTAAATTCAAGTGTTTGTTGCAGCTGTCGCGCGGTGTCTGCCTCTTTGTTTTGGGCCAGCGTCTGTCACTCTTCCGCGTCAACCAATAGGAGAACGCCTTACTTAACCCATTCGACCAATGAGCGTTGAGCTTTGTTCTACAGTGCCAGTTCCTAGGCGGGAGCGCACCGAGCCGTCGAGCTAGTTCTACTTTTATCCGCCTTTCGCAAAACCGTTCGTTTACGCATTTTAGCAGCGCTGTTTTTATTTAACCACAAGCTTCGATGTACATACCATATGTAACAGATAGCTGTGTTTGTCGTAAAATCCTTCGAGGACATTCAAACGGAAGGCGCGAGCCGGTTTGACGGGTGTCAACAACGCGAGACGCTTTTATTTCCACTTATTCTCCTTCAGGTACTTACAAAAAGACACCGCTTCACTTTTATACTCGCGTTTTGTTTAGTAAAGATCAAGCATGGCGCAATTCCACGAGGATCCGTCGCTGCTCACTAAAGAGAAGCTGAAGAGCGAGTTACTAGCCAATAACGTGCCTCTGCCCAGCGCAGACAGCAAGAAAGACGTGTATGTGCAGCTGTATCTGAAGAGCCTGACGGTGCTCAACAAGAAGAACATCTCTGCTCCCGCTCCAGACACTTTCTCCAGCGACGAGGAGATGACAGCGCCGCTGCTGTCCAGCAGGAGCCGCTCGGGGAAGGTGAGCGCCGATAAAAACCACATGCATTCATTAAAGGGGTCATATGATGCTTTTTTAAAGATCATTATTTGGTGTAACAGAATATGTTGACATGCTTTAATGTTCAAAAAACACATTATTTTTCAAATACTGTACATTATTGTAGGTCCTCTATGCCCCGCCTCTCTCAAACGCTTCGTTTTCTACAAAGTCCCTCCTTCCCTAGCATGCTTCTGCAGAATCCTGAATATACCTTGTAGAGATGTGTGGGAGAATAGTTTTGGATATCGACCAATAATACGTGAGGTAGGGCTGTGCGATATTGAAGAAAAATGCGATATGCGATAACTCATTAAATAATGCGATACGATTATGCTTAAAGTGCCACATGCTCAGATGAAACAGTTTTACTCAGCTGTTGCTGAGTCAGTTCTGTGAACTTCTATAACTATCTTGTCATATATATATATATATGGTTATTTAAAGCTCATTCTGATTCTGATTCTAATATAACTAGCATACATGCTTCACTTTTTGTGCAAGGAAAGCACCCCTACAACAACTTCTGAAAGTGAACGGTAGTGTTTTACTCGAGCATTACATAAAAATGTCATTTTAACATTAGTGTAATCATTTTAACATGTTTAGGAACTGAATAATAAAAAAGAAAAATACAACACTGCTTAGTATTTACTCTATGAATTCAATATGCACTGATTCTTATTTAAGCTACAAAAGTTATTTAAGTAAGAGCAGTGAGTGATTTTCTCTGTCTTTTGTTCATGGCCCCAAATATTGCAAGCTGTAGCGATATGCACATTTGCGATATTTCGATATATTGCACAGCCCTAACGTGAAGTATGATAATGTTATGGATTATACATATTTTATTATAAAAAATAACAGTTTAACTAAATTAAATAACTTAATTAAAAATCTGATGATTCTTTTGTGAAATAAAATAATTGTATTTATTATTATGATGATAATTTATATTTTGAGGCAAACCATTCAAACATAATGTAGTATGTGTTTTATAGTAATGATCATATTTCCCGTAATAATTATTTGGAGTATATTTCACTTTTAATATTAAAATATTGTTATGATTATTAGTATTAATAAAATATATGATCCATTGTGTTTGAATGGTTTTTGTCTCAAGAAAGTAGAAATAATTTCTGATGAGAATAATTAATTATTATCATGATGATAATTTCTGAATTTTTAGACAAACAATTCAAGCATGGATTATGATTATTTAATATATATAAATATATATATTTTATTAAAAATAATTGTATGATAGTAATTGTGAAATATGCTCATTATATTATTATTGAGATAATTTCTACCTTTTTGAGACAGACCATTCAAACATCATGGGTTATACAGATCTTATTAATAATAATAATTACGTATATAATCAGAGTTATTACGTAAAATATGATAAATATCTTTTTTTTTTTTTACAACAAATGATTCTTAATTGCTTTATCTTTTTTTATTTCTGCTATTTTACTTTACTTATTATAATCATTATATATATATATATAAACCTATAATAATTCCTCTAGTCTACCACAATAAAACTAAAATAATTGTTGTTTATTCTGACTTGAGTCATTTAAAAATAAGTAATTTTACACGTAAACACTTTTACATTTTATACATGGAGAAGCACTTCTGTGATTTTCTCAGTAGTTAGAAATAGAGAAAAATGAAAATAATTACATGCATTTTCCTTTTCATAATCCCTTATTCTTCAGAAAGCAACTAGAAAGACAGACAGAGTTCGGCCAGAGGAGAACGACATCTCTGGTTTGACTGATGAAGAGTTGAAGGTTCAGCTTATGAAGTATGGAATCCATTCAGGACCAATTGTTGGTGAGTATCACCATTTTTTACAGTCAAATTGAGTTTGTGAATATTGATGGCCCACTATGAATGTCCTACATCTGTAGATTTGTGAAGGTTTGCATTGTATTGTTTCACAGCCTCTACACGTAAGGTGTATGAGAAGAAGCTCCAGCAGCTCCAGGTGCAGCTGCCGGTGGAGAGCAGCCTGCCCGAACCCGAGACCACCATCCCGGAGGCCCTCACCATCAAAGCAGATGGAAACCAGAACGGCAACACACATTCAGCCGAAGATCAGTACAGCGACAAAGAAGAAGGTAAAACAGGGATGATCAGTACTGAAACAAGCTTTTTGCATTTGCACTTTTAAGTACCACATTTTTCTGAAAACAAGTCGTGCCTGAGTAAAAGTCGCACAGGGTCAAAATCGCATTGATGAGAGAGAAGAAAAAAACACAATTGATTTGAATTGTACTATTGCATTCACAAATAATGTAGAATATTTGTAAAAGAAACATTTACAAACATTAATTACAAACAACATTTAGGCTATTATAAATCCTAAACCTTTGAACAATTCTGTTAAGTGAAACTGGAATCTGCATTGGCATATATTTGTTTGCCTTTGCGTGCTTGGAAATAAATGCATTATATAGGTCAGTCTGGAATATAAAACATAGGATGCTTCAGATTATAAAAATACAGTAATCTCATTATTATTAATAATTATTATAATTTATGATATAATGTATAATAATTATCATTATTAATATTTCACCAAGAGAAGTTTTGTGTTATTGATTTATTTCTACATTTGAATATTATGTATTATACTTGCTCTTGGTAGAGCAGGAATTACTGATATTGAGTCTTTTTGGATTTGTACTTCAAAGTATGTCAGCTCATGCACTTTCAAGTAGATCAACTTCATCCTTTGTTATTCATTTAGTAGTGTTCACTAAGTCAACTGTAGACCTCCTCAAATGTTGCGTCTTTTTGAGAAGAGGTGTGTGATTCTTTTACTAAGCTATCAGACTTTGCATGTGATCCGAGTCATCCAGACAAGCACATTTTCTTCATCAAATGTAGACATTTAATTGTGGCAGTCGAAGTTGCTTAAGAATAAAAAGAGCTTAGTCTTCCAAACGTTGCACTAGAATTCGAATAATGACTGAAAGTTCAATATTTATGGTTATATTAGGTTTCTGTTTAATCAGTTTTGCTTTTTGATTGGCAGAAGTTGATCCTGTACCAGAGCCAGTTCCTGTTGTGACTAAGCCGGTCCGGAGCAGAGGAAAGACTCCAGTCACCACCAGGACCAGCAGCAGACAGCGCACTAAAGTAAAGAACAAAGTCAACATGCATATAGATAAAAAGATCATAGTAGAGTCTTAATTTGTGCTGCTCAATCTCATCTGCTGTGCTCTGTAATAGTTGAGTTTTCTTCTATTCAGCAGCAGGTGGTGGAGGAGACGGCAACTGTCACTGAGGAAACGTCTGTGGATGGAGGAGATATTTTAAAGGAAATCTTCCCCAACGAACCTGCCACACCAACTGGAATAACGTTAGTATGAACATGCTGTTTGCATTATTCCAAATATGACCCGTCACATATTTGCTGAATGGAGTCAGGTAATTTTTTCTTACTAATCCTGGGGTGCTGATTCAAAAACAGAGCCTGTTTTGTTCTAGATCGTCACATTTTCTCAGAACATATGATGCATTTCATTGCATTTTTGCTTTCGACAACCATTCGTAAAGTGTGTTCTCCCTTAATCAGCAGAAAAACTGCCACACACATGTCAAAAAATGATTCCTGTCTTCATCTGAGCCAGATTACAACTATTTGTTTTTACACACGTGAATTTATTTTAGGCCTAATCCTGATTTCAAGGTTAGAGTTACAACCAGCGACAGAAGAAAACGCAAACATGAGCCAGATGTTTTCTGCTGCATCTGTGGGTGTTTTACTACAGACAAACAGTGACAGATTTTGTAAATAAATAAATAAAAGCTTATTTTATGAACATGAAATGGAGTATTTAAACATATTTTTCCACTCCTTTGCAGACTGTAAGTTAAATAACATGCATAAATATATTTTGATATAAAAATAACATTTAGAGTACATTTTTGTCCTTAAAACAAATGACAAAACTTTTCAAATTTGAGTGCTTTTTTTGTTTTATTAAGTGCATCAAAGCTATGTAATTTGAAAAATCTTTCTTATTTAAAAAAACAAAACTACATGTTGGAAAGTTTTAATTGATATTTTTGAACTCACCTTCAGTCAAATTCCTCCCTTTGAGATCAGACCTATTATTAATCGTTATATATTAAATAAGTGGCAAGAAGAGTGGGATACATGTACAAATAATAAATTACATTAAATAAATCCAGAAATTTCAAACAGATTTTTAATCTCTTTTAAAACTAGATTTGATCAAGTGGTATTCACCAGATGTCGCATACAGTAGGTCAGGGTTCCTCAAATCTTACCCTGGAGGGCCAATGCGCTGCAGAGTTTAGCTCCAACCCTGATCAAACTCACCTACCTGTGATTGTCTAATGATCCTGAACACATTGATTAGCATGCTCAGGTGTGTTTGATTAGGGTTAGAGCTAAACTGCAGGAAAGTGGATCTCGTGGGCCAGATTTGAGGATCCCTGCCGTAGGTCATACAAGACTGACTCATGCATTTTTGCTTAAAGGCTTAGAAGGTGAAGACCCTACTCAATGCATGTTCTGCAAGATTCCCCTTTCTGTCAAACATATTTTATTGGACTGTCCCGCTTTTAATGTATGGTTTTATGAAGTGAACTCACTTAAAGAGTTATTTAGTATAATTTTATCATATGTGACCCAGGACCACAAAACCAGTCATAAGCGTAATTTTTTTAAAATTGAGATTTATACATCGTCTGAAAGCTGAATAAATAAGCATTCCATTGAGGTTTGTAAGGCTAGGACGATATTTGGCTGAGATACAACTATTTGAAAATCTGGAATCTGAGGGTGCAAAAAAATCCAAATAATGAGAAAATCAGCTTTAAAGTTGTCCAAATGAAGTTCTTAGCCATGCATATTACTAATAAAAAATTAAGTTTTAATATATTTACGGTAGGAAATTTACAAAATATCTTCATGGAACATGATCTTTACTTAATATCCTAATGATTTTTGGCATAAAGGAAAAAACTATCATTTTGACCCATACAATGTATTGTTGGCTGTTGCTACAAATATACCCCAGCGACTTAAAACTCCAGGGTCACATATGTTAATGTAAAAAGTCTCGTGTAATATAACTTGTGCTTGTTTATTTGCTGTTTTTTATTGTATTTGTTATACTTGTATTCTTTGAATTGTTTTTGCCATGAAAATAGATGCTGACATGGCATTAAATAAAAATATGCTACTACTGAACTCACCTTCATCAAATTAGTTAATATTAGTTGCAGGGCTGTGTTATCAGTTCTTTAGTTAAACTCTATAATAATATTGTATATCTGAACAGGGTCACATGTCGGAGACCGATCCATGGTGCAGCTGGCCGTGCGGTGAAGCCACTGAGCCTCTGGTCCGAGGAGTCCCTCCAGCAGCAGAACACTTACACAGTGACCAAATCCTCCGTCACAGACGTTCGCAGTGCAACGCCGGCCGCCCATCTCAAACCCCGCCGCTGGTTGGCTTTCTGGTTGAAGCTTCTGGTGTTCATCACACTGGCTGCGTCTCTGTATTACGCCTTCCAATACGTCACCGCCGATCAGATCAACGCCTGCCAGCTCTATGTCCAGGACAATGTCATCACGCCCATCGTCAATTACATCAGCTGGGAAAGCCCAGCCGAGGGTGGCGATGGCAAATGAGCGGCCCGGTCCCCATATTTTATTGGACTGTCCCGCTTTTAATGTATGTAGAAAACTCTTTTATGAAGTGAACTCACTTAAAGAGTTATTTAGTATAATTTTATCATATGTGACCCAGGACCACAAAACCAGTCATAAGCGTAATTTTTTTTAAATTGAGATTTATACATCGTCTGAAAGCTGAATAAATAAGCATTCCATTGAGGTTTGTTAGGCTAGGACGATATTTGGCTGAGATAAAACTATTTGAAAATCTGGAATCTGAGGGTGCAAAAAAATCCAAATAATGAGAAAATCGCATTTAAAGTTGTCCAAATGAAGTTCTTAGCCATGCATATTACTAATAAAAAATTAAGTTTTAATATATTTACGGTAGGAAATTTACAAAATATCTTCATGGAACATGATCTTTACTTAATATCCTAATGATTTTTGGCATAAAGGAAAAATCAATAGTTTTGACCCATACAATGTATTGTTGGCTGTTGCTACAAATATACCCCAGCGACTTAAAACTCCAGGGTCACATATGTTAATGTAAAAAGTCTCGTGTAATATAACTTGTGCTTGTTTATTTGCTGTTTTTTATTGTATTTGTTATACTTGTATTCTTTGAATTGTTTTTGCCATGAAAATAGATGCTGACATGGCATTAAATAAAAATATGCTACTACTGAACTCACCTTCATCAAATTAGTTAATATTAGTTGCAGGGCTGTGTTATCAGTTCTTTAGTTAAACTCTATAATAATATTGTATATCTGAACAGGGTCACATGTCGGAGACCGATCCATGGTGCAGCTGGCCGTGCGGTGAAGCCACTGAGCCTCTGGTCCGAGGAGTCCCTCCAGCAGCAGAACACTTACACAGTGACCAAATCCTCCGTCACAGACGTTCGCAGTGCAACGCCGGCCGCCCATCTCAAACCCCGCCGCTGGTTGGCTTTCTGGTTGAAGCTTCTGGTGTTCATCACACTGGCTGCGTCTCTGTATTACGCCTTCCAATACGTCACCGCCGATCAGATCAACGCCTGCCAGCTCTATGTCCAGGACAATGTCATCACGCCCATCGTCAATTACATCAGCTGGGAAAGCCCAGCCGAGGGTGGCGATGGCAAATGAGCGGCCCGGTCCCTCAACCAGCTTCAGCATGCATCTACTGTTAGACTGATTTTCTAGTGCTTTACGGAGCGACGCGTCGGCAGGGTTCGGGGAGGGAGGGATTCTGGTTATTGCAGTTTGACCTAGCAGTCACATCTGAATAGACTCGTGTTTCAAGTAGTCTTTAAACTCTGTGCATCGTGTATTTTGATCTTGCTTTCTGATTTTACGGTTTTGTAGCATTCGAGACGACGTAGAGAAGTGTAGTAGTGACTGGATAATAGTGAATCATTCTCTGCTCAGTGGCATCACAATGAGAGGTTACGTGCCAAGACATGGCCAACACAAGCACAATTTGGTTTCACACACATCGGGGCTAGACAGAAAAGCCTGAAGCTGAATGTTTGCGAAAATGGTTTATTTGATAGTTCTGATAGGTCCTGAATAATCATGAAGTTTTTATTTTAGCACGACTGAATCTGACTTTATGAAGTGTCACTAATGAGACCAGAGTGAGAAAATTGTTCTAGCATAACAGGGTGAATCTCACAGAAAATATGTGGATCATGTTTCACCATAAAAAAAGTGTATATATAAATAATGCAAAAAAAAATAGAATTCTCATTGCCATAATGTGAAAAATCTCATTGTGATAAACATAATGCAAAAACAATTGCATTACCGTAATGCAAAAAAACCAACAACTCATTACCGTACTGTAAAAAAAATACATTTGCATGACTGTAATGGGAAAAAATGACTGACAAATTTTAGCAATCTGATTTTTAAAACTATATATGCATATTTAGTTTTTTTTAAATAGCCATAATAATTCAGTTCAGCCATTGTGAACACTTAATTTACAATTAATAATATAACATTATTTTTTGCATTACAGTAATGAGAATTAAGTGCTTGATTGAAAGTATTTAAAATAATTAACAAATAATATTGTTGATTTTGTGGTGAAATATGACTTTTGCATATTCTTGACGGTTTTAGTGAGATTGACCCAGTAGCATTTGTTTTTAATGATTTGTTGCATTGAAATTTTTTTAAACTACTGAACTACCACCTCAGATAATGCTTGGTTTTAGCACTAGACATATTGATCAATATTTATTTTTTTATCCAGAGCTTGAAAGAAAATGTGATCTTATGAACATCTCATGTAGTGAGTAACGCTTCACTTCTGGTGAGAGGCAGTCTGTTGTTTTTTTAATAGATTATGGCGGCTTGTTAAATGTGTTTGTGATGTTTTCATAATGTGATGTGTGGCATTATAGGTGATTTTTAAACCCGTAATGAGAATCGAGTCCACCGACACTTGCCTGTTATTGACTGTAATCAGACCGTCTGTTATTGCTCAAACACTGGCATTCATCTGACTAAACTATGAATTCATTTCTGTGCTGTGATTTTTGAAAACAAACCTGGTCTGGACGTGTTTACGGAGTATATCTTCATTTGATTCAGAGAAATACATTTGTGACAGACAAATTCATTTGCAGGGGTTTCTTTTTCTATTTTGCTACTCTAACTACTTTTTAACGGCAATATTTTTCTAATGTCTTCTCTGAAATTAAAAACATTTTTTAAAACGCAGCGAGTTACTTAAAGTGTAGATATACCGAATCCACTAACCGCTAAGTAACATCTTAGTTTTGTCCTGCTGTGTCAAAGGCAGTGAATGGTATAAAGTCCAATTTGCACTTTGTGTTTAGGCAGCTAATTGTGGAAAACTGGTCATACGGAATGAATTATTTATCCTTGATTCAGTACAATTCTTGTGTGAAATAAAAGAAGACCTTTGAAATCCCAGAGGTGACCTTTCCTTGTAGTTTATTTACAGCAAGGTCAGTTTAGTGACACACACACACACATTCCAGCAAATTTACCCAGGAATGTTTCCTGTCATTTATACTCTTGAGGTTTGACCTTCAGACACACCATTGCACATATGAGCTAGCAAGCCATATAATCAGTCATGTTCAGATATACATATACACAGCATATTTAGCAATAATTCACTGCTGTACAATATTAATGCACGTAAATATGGCTCAATCACACTACAAAGACAGCAGACGGTGACTTTGAGTTGCATGGAATCTCTTGCGTAATGCACTCCGGAATAGCCCCGCCTCTCATTTTTGTCCTGACTGGTCAAGCGAGTTCTACTATGGCGAAGGCTTGGCTCATGAATATTAATTACGTGATGTGACGTTACCCAATTAGATGTGCTGATTGGCTGAGATGCAACGTCTTAACTGATCTGTAATTTTTGGTCTTTTATCATATCAATATTAATTACTAAAAAGGATACAGAGTGTAATAATAGAAATAAAAAGAGTAAAAAATATATATTAGGATAATTAATAGCATTACATGATCCACGTTTTTTTTTTTTTTTGCAGAACCCTGCATTTTGGTTTAAAATAATTTATTTGGTTTGGCAGACCATTTCATTTTATGTATGTGTAACTTAAAAAAAATATATCGGTCTTCATACAAGGTAACGTTTCGAGCTCTTCGTCAGGGCTGTTAGCTCAAAACGTAACATTAAAGTCCAATGTTAAATTGTTTTGCATTTTTGGAGCCTATGGTGTGCCAACTTTTGTTTGTTTTTTCATTATTTTCTTGAACGAGCACCCAATTTAGAGCATTTTGTGCCATCGATGTGCATGCTTTGGTTCTGTTTTTGCTATGTATGTGTAACTTATATATACTGTATATATATATATATATATATGATTTGTAAAAGACTTTTTCTTATTTAATCTTATCGTTATATCAATTGCACCCAATCAGAAAATTCAGTTAGAAAATTATGTAGCATGAACATTTGAATGGGTTGGCAGGACTATTGTATTTGATATGTTGTTTTAATTTTAGAAATATATAGATATAGTAACAGTAGAAGTAATATACTTGGAAAATATTTTCTTAGAAAAGGGGAAATTTGTAACACAATATCTCACATTTTAAAAATTCATCTCATTAGCGAATCTTAAAAAATAAAAGAAACTGAATTAATGTAAAATTATTACTGCATTTGATACGCTGTTTTAATTTGAGAAATATATAATAGTAGTAGTAGTAATATACATGAAAATATTTTCTTAGAAGAAGGAAAACTTTTAGCACAATATCTCACATTTATTTACAAAAATAAATTCATCTCATTAGCGAATCTAAAAATAACTGAAAATAATGTAAAATAATTTTATTTAATCACTGGCACTGTTCATACCTCATTGTTTATTAATATCACTATGTACATCCTCTGCGCTGAAAAAGCTTTTTTAAATAAATAAATGAAGAAAAACAAAAAAAAAAATCGCCGTCTATATTAATATTCATGAGCCGATGCGTGGCCATAGTAGGATTTATAATGAGGTGGGCGGGGCCTGCAGTGACGCAGTCGCTTCCTTTATCCGGTTGAGCCTCGCGGCGCTCGCGCATATCGCTCGGTCTCTCTGCGCAGCCGGTAGAGGAGAGAACGCAGGCGCCATTTTGCGACAACTTCACTAAAGTAAGAGTTTCGCCTAAACCTAACACAACCTTGTTCTTGGTCTTCACACACAGATTGAAGTATCATTCCGCAGTTTCTTCACATAACGTGTTAAATGTTTGACATGTGTGTGTAAAACACGCAGCTTGTAAACGTGTTCAGCGCCTAACCAGTGTTGGTTTTTCATTCAGACATGTATCCGACCACGCTGACCCAGCTGACCCGCGCAAACCCCTTCAGCGCCCCGTTGTTCTCGCTGCAGAAAGCCGAGGAACCGGAGGAACACACTCCCGTACCGACGCGCAGGCTCGCAGCCGCCGCGGCAGCCGGTAAGACCGTAGCCCATACATAGCTATGGATAGGAGACCAAAAAACCTCATTTGCATTAAATGC